TCAGACCACTGACAATAAGAGAATCTCAGTGTGATGCATGGCACATACACAGGAAGAAAAATACAGCCTCGTGATGTTTTGGTAAGGATGGAACCAGCAGATGTGTAAAATGGAAGTATCGCAAAGAATTGTGCCTCCAAGCCAACCTTGCGCAATTGCGTAATGGCTTTTCAAAGTGGCAGAGTGTGAGGTAGTTGTGGTTTCCGTGGTCAGTTCTCCCAGCGAAGGCCGATTTGTGAGCAGCCGCCGCGGGGAGGGTTCCACGCACAGTTCTGGCGCAGCCCTACCTTCTCCTCTCCCCGCGGAGCACTGAGTGCTGGACACGTCTGCTGAGTGACTCTCACGAAAGCTTCCCCGGAAGGAGTTGCAGAGGTGGACCCTGGGTTTCCAGGAGGTTGAAACGCTGTCCCTGTGGTCTCACAGGTAGTAAGTGGTGCCAGATCTGTCTGGATCCCAGACAGTCAGCCGCTCCTCCATGCAACATCCCTCCCGAGGTCAACTCCCGTTCCTGAAAGGCAGAGGGGGAGCTTTTCATTGCTGTTGCAGTGTTCACATCAAAAGCCTCTCAACCTCATTCGGGGGTTGGAGATAAACATTAAGTAAGTGTTGGGAGAAAGGTAACAGGAGTCTGGAAAATCTTAGGTTCAGTGTTATCCCTCTGTTTGGCAGTCATTAGAGCTGTTTTTGGATATTCTCATTTTCTCCCTTGCTTATGAGGTAGGATTGCCCTTTCTCATCCTCTCTGAAGTTAGGTAGGGCCCTGTGGCTTGTTCTGTAATGAAATAGTAACGGAAGTAACCACAGGCCGAAGTTTCAAGCACCGGTGTGAAATGCACCACATTCTGACGCACATTGTCCAAGCACATGTCCAGGTGGACCGCCCTGCTGTCTGGTCCCCTTCCCCGAGTGACTGTGGGGAGCAGAGCCCCTGCTGGCTCAGCGCGGATGAGGAAGATGTGCAGCGAAGGACCATCCGGTTGTGTTAAGCCACTGAGATTCTGGAGCTCCTTGTAACTGCTGTGTATTCTAGCTCACTGTGACTGATTCAACACCTTTAAGAACAAACGTAGAAAGTAGAAATTCACCCTAAATTTCCAGTAGAGAAAATTATTTTGCAAATAACTCTTTAAAGATTCTTGCAGGACACTCTCTTAACATGTCTCAGATATTAATATGGAAAGCTTAAGGAATAACTTTTAATGCATGAGGCCAAAGCAGTATTAAATTCACAAGATGATTAGATAACCATCTAGTACTATGGCATTATTTTTTTTCTACTATATTTAAAACTTTTGTCTGCCAACAAATGTTTGTTCATTGTTCTTGCGCTAAAGAAAACAGCTTGACATGTAAGGAAGGAGGACGAAATTGGTGGCGGGGAAACCAGAGGACACACGAACAGTGTCACCTTTATCCGGGCAGCACTGTGGGAACAATAGCGGGGTTTCACTCTTAATTTCTGTTGCAAGAGGACCGTGTGTTAAAGACAGATCTTCTGTTACATTTAGGATCTTGTTTCGAGCCTGTAGTTGCTGGCCTCACCTGGCTCTAAACTCTGCTTTGCCTTGCAGTTAGTTACTCAGTGCGGTGTCTGAAGTCTTTGTTTATTCGTGATGGCTTGCACTCCCGTCTTGCTCTACGGAGGGTCCACTCAGTGGGACAAACAAAGCCACGGTTTAGAAGCTGAGAGCCCTTGTAGCTGACAAGAGAAAACTTCCTCCATTCCCCTCAAGCTGGAATCAGATAAACGACAGTGGATATTGAGGAGTTGATGAGATTTCAGAATATTTGTAAGAGTCAAAAAGAATTGGTCATCTGCCATAAATTTATACTTCCTCATTTCATCTGAGATGCGGCGTCGTCTTTCATTTGATATGCTACTCTGTGTTATGTTACTGTTTAAACATTTCTGTGACATAAGCTTCATTGAGGAAAGAAGAGGCATTTTCTTTTTAAGTGAGGTTCAAATGGTGATACACCGTTTATTACTAGAAGTTCTAAATATTGCAAGACTTTTATGCTTTTAATATATGAATAGTAATTTTCTAATATTTCAGTCTTTTAGGATTTAACATGTCTTGAGTCATGTATCAGGAATAGCAAAATTGCCCTGGCTGGTGTGACTCAGTGGATTTAGTATGGGCCTGCGAATGGAAAGGTTGCTGGTTCGATTCCCAGTCAGGGCACATGCCTGAGTTGCAGGCTAGTTCCCCCAGTTGAAGGTGTATAAGAGGCAAGTCATCAATATATCTCTTGATGTTTCTCTCCCTCTCTTTCTCGCTCCCTTCTCCTGTTTCTAAAAAAAAATAAATAATTAAAAAAAAAGAATATCAAAACCGCCTTCGCTGATGTGCCTCAGTGGATTGAGCGCTGGACTATGGACCAAAGGGTTGCTGGCTCGATTCCCAGTCAGGGCACATGCCTGGGCTGTGGGTCAGGTCCTGGTGGGAGGCACATGAGAGACGACCACACACTGGTGTTTCTCTCCCTCTCTTTTTCCTTCCCTTCTCCTCTCTAAAAATAAATAAATAAAATCTTAAAACAAAAAGAACATCAAAACTCATATCACCTTTAGAGATGATCTAGTTCAGGAAGCCTTAGGTTCTTGGAGAGGAAACTTTTCCAAACATTATCTGACATGGTATCCAATACATAATGAAGATTCTTAACATTACAAAATTGTATGGTTTCAAACACACTTATTATAGGGTCAGTTAGTGAGGGGGAAATACTGTTTTGAACAACATAAAGACTTCATTTCAAAGGGCCTTGGCCTTTACTTTAGAAGTACTTTGTTTCATTTGGCAAGTATTTGAAAATACTGAATTACATGGTAAGTAGCTGTGAGTGGTAACAGTTTTTATTAGTCTGTTTTACAGGGTTCACTCCGAATCCTTGGGGGACTTCAGGTTTACGGGACCACAGAAAAGTTAACGTAGCAGCACAAGTTAATGAAATGTAAAGCTGTTGAGCTTGACTGTTATTTTTTTTTAAATCCAGCTTTAAGGTAATTAAAGAAATCAAATAAAAAATGTACCGAATCCCACAGCCACACAGAACAGCACTTGAAAACTACTAATTATGCTTTATGTAACGATAGCTCCGTGGAGTGACAGTGTAGTTTCTGTTTGTACTATTTTTTTAAAGAAATTGTCAAATATGGTAGGAAATGTGAAAAGAGCTCTCGCTGAAAAGGGTTAGGTTAGTGCGAGTAAATCCTCATCAAAAAATAGGTTTCGGAAGTTTCAGAATTTCTTAAATTTCCACTTTACATGATATGGAGTGGTCGCCAGCCCAGCCCACAAATCATCTAGCCCATAAGGGACCGAGGTAGTAATATTTAGCTGTCTTTCTTATGTATGTGCTTTTAAGTCAGGTGGCATTCTAGAAGATTCTCATGGCAGTTTCCATAGGATTTTTAAAAATCTGATGTGCAGCTTTGGCTGGGTACTCCTTTGTATAATATACATCCATGTTTTGGCCCCAAACTTTCAGGAAAAAAATCTTTTGTTGTAATTTTTGGACTCATTTATTTATTTGTATTTAGAAACAATAGTGATTATTGTATTCCCTGGCATTATTTTGCATACAAGTGTCAGTGTTGCTTTCTAGAGTTATACCTTTAACACATAAGCATAAATAAAAGAATTAAAAACATTTATATACATATGGAATTAGTACCACCTATGTATAATGCACATCTTTATCTTTTCCTCAGAAGTTTGGGCAAAAGTGTAGATTATACCCAGCAAAATACAGTAGTTGGTTAGAGCATTGTCCAGATATGCCAAGGTTGCGGGTTTGATCCCTGGTCAGGGCACATCCAAGAATCAACCAATGAATGCAGAGAGAGGTGGAACAACCAATTGAAGTTTCCATCTCTTTCCCCCTGAACCCCTTCTAAAAAAATCTGTTAAAAAATATCTGATGTGCTGCGTTGGGTTGGAAGCTTTCTCTCCAGACCCACTGTGTAGTAGCAAAGAGAGTGAGAGATGTTTATTCCTTGGTTGGAGAATTTTTATCCCTGCACAAAAGCAACTCCTCTTTGAAAAAGAATCATAGGTTCCAGTGTTAGAAAGGGAATCTGAAGATGCCCTACTTCTGTGCCTTTACAGGCATGGTTTTGTAAAGCTGTCAAAGAGGAAACTTTTACAGAAACAAATGTATTTTGCACTGCTTTAGCAAGCTGGATATTTAAAGGAACCCTGTGGCAAACACTTTGCGGCAAATGCACCTCTAAGATGGCATCTGGGTAAAAGGAAAGCTCTTGGAGCTTTAAAAAGCCTTAAGAAGTCGGCTGCACTCCCCACACTGAGGAGAGTGATCAGCGGAACGGGTCCTCCTTGAAGACAATCCCAGCCTCTGCAGAGCCAGTGGCCCCGGCCGCCCTGTGACCCAGGGCACCCTGCGCCCTAATTACCTTCCACTTGGTGGTGCCAGGTATTCCTCTGTGGACCGGCAGGCCTCTCGGAGTGCCACCGGCTTCGTATTAAATTCCCTGCAGTGATTAGAGGCTGTTTGGCACCAAAGTTAAATTGAGAACTAAAAATGGGAGCACACTCGCCTGTGAGTTTCTCATGCCGCTTCCAGCTGATGAGTCTGGGAGACAAGTGCATCATGAGGATTGCTTGTGGGTTTTGATGTGGAATTACATAAGCAGTTGTCGCATGAAAAATTCTAGTAAATAAGACCTGCGTTCAGATTGTGAGCCTGCTGCTTGCTTGCTCAACACTATGGAGAGACTGAATTAATTCATTACCCTAAGCTTGACTCTGAAGGTTGCTGGGAGGTGTGAAGGTAACCCCTTCAAAGTGTGTTACCATGGCATGTGGTGTGTAGTGGGTGCTTAGTCGTTTTTATCGTTCTCATTTTTAATATTACTATTATTTTGAAGTCTTACTATGCCTAGGGAATATGACCAGATAAGGTTAAATAAGGAGGAGTAAAGAAATTCTGGCTTCTAATGCCCTTTCTCCACCCCTGTCCTGTCCCCTCTGCAGAATGTGACAAACTGCGGCGGGATGGCTGCCGGAGCTCCCAGTACTACTCCCAGGGACCCACCTTCGCCGCCCCCTCTAGTCCACTCTGCAATGAGGACCACGATGAGGATGAAGAAGCAGATCAGAAGGTAAGGCTTCTCAGCTCAACACGGGATCCTGGATTGGCTCCTAGGACAGAAAAAGGATGTAACTGGGGAAACTTGCAAAATCAGAACAAAGCCCATTTTTGGTTTTTTTTATTTCTTAGTTTTGACAAGTGTCCCATGATGGTGCAACATGCTGCCACCAGGGGGAACTGGGTGAAGGGTACACAAGTGACCGTCACCACCATTCACTATGTCGCAATGTGACACTGAGGCTTCCGGATGGGCAGCCATCAGCGGTCATTGTGTGGGACCAGGCATGTCCCTTTATCCTTCCTCAGTGTGTTCTTCAACAGAGCTCCTTTAAGCCCAGTAGTGTAATTCATTTTTAAAACAAGTATTCATTAAGCACCTCCTGTATGCCAGGAACTATTCAAGGTGTTTGGTGAGACACCAAGAATAAAGAAGCAATGATGCTTCTTTAAGCATACAGGAGGTACTTTATTGCTTTTAAGCAATAAAGAAGCATCTTTGCTTCCTTATTAGAAGCATTAGAAAATGACATTGCTCTGTAGTAAAAACAAGCAGAATAAGACAGAGGGGAGGCTGCAACTTTAAATGAAGAGGGTAGGCCTTCCTGAGCAAAGAGGTGATTGGGATTAAAAGGGTGAGCCATGCAGAAATCTTGGAGAAGAACATTCCAAGGTGAAAAAGCAGTCAGTGCAATAAATGTTTCTTAAGGATTACGCTAAGTATCGGATTCTGCAACATGCAAACATTGATGTCTGTAGTTGCCTCAAGGAACTTACAGCTCTTGTGTAGGGACAACTGACGAGAATAAAAAGTTTCTATGTGCCTTGCAGATATGCTTTTTTTTCTTTTTACTTTTTAAATTAAAGGTTTGTGGCAACCCTGCCTCAAGCAAATCTGTTAGCACCATTTTTTTCAGCAGCATTTGCTTACTTTGTGTCTCATTTTGGCAATGGTTGCAATATTGCAAACTTTCTCATTATTACTGTGTGACTCGTTATCAGTGGTCTTGGATGTTACCAGGGCAAGACCCTCTACCAGCAAAAAGATCACAACTCACTGAAGGTTCAGATGATGGCTAGCATTTTTTAGCAGAAAGTATTTTTAAATTAAGGTAAATACATTGTTTTTTATAGAAATAATGCTATTGCACACTCCATAGACTGTAATAGAGTGTAAACATAACCTTTATTTGTACTAGGAAAGCAAAAAATTGTGTGACTTTTTTTATTGTGGCATTCACTTTATTTTTGTGGTCTGGAACCGAACCCTGTCCATCTCTGAGATAGGACTGTGTGTTGCATGCACCAACAAGGAGTCGTCATAGAATGACGTGTGGAAAAGAAATTCTTCTGACTTGAGCAGTCAGGAAATGGAGAGAGGTTTGAAAGAGGGCAGGGTATTTAAGACAAGCGGCTATAGGGCTGTTGCAACAGGCAAGACACAATGAGAACCTAGGCCAAAAGAGTGGCTGTGTGAATGGCAGGGGGGCTGGTGTTGAGAGATGATGGTGGCGGCATTTTTGCAGTTTGGAGACAAATTTCGAGTCTTAGCTTGCCACTTGCTGCTTTCTTTGGCTGTATCACTTGGCCCCTCAAGGCATTCATCTCCTTATCTAGAAAGAGGGGAGTGGAATAAGATCTCTCTCTGAGATCTTTTGAACAGGCTGTTAATTCATTCATTTACTCAATAAATATTTATTTAGCATCTCCAGTATGCCAAGCGTTATTGTAAGTCCTGAGAACCCGTCAATTGAAAAAACAAAGTCCCTGCCACCAGAGGAAAAATGATGGTAAACAGACAAGTGTACTGTAACACCAAGGGGTGATGCGTGTTGCGGAGGAAAAGGAGAGTTCGAGAGTGACAAGGCTGCTCTTTTAGACTGAGCACTGGGGAAGGACCCCATGGGGGTGCCATCTGGGCACACCTCAGAAGGAAGGGTAGGAAACCACACATGAGTATGTCTGGGAAGAGTTTTCTTGGAAGGAAAGATAGTAAGTGCCAAGGCCTGGAGACAGCAGTATGGCTACCCTGTGGGAGGAACAGCCAGGGACCTGAGAGGCAGGCGGTGAACAAGGGGAAGAGAGGCGATCATGACTTTGGGGGATAGATAACCAAGGGCCAGATCCATGGAACCTAATCAGTCACAGTAAAGACTAGATTCATTGTTCCTGGATGAGATGGGGAGGGCCTAGAGGACTTGGGATGGAAGTGGCTTGATCTGATTTACCCCTGGATGCACTTAGTCTGCCTTAGAATGCAGTGGATGGAGACGAGACTGTAGAGAGTTGAAGGTGGAAGCTAAGGCAGGTGCACAGGTTATGGCAGTAGTCCAGGCAGGATATGGATGGTAGGGGCTGGGACCCAGGCAGCAAGCAGTCATGGAGAGTCTAGCTTTCTTTTAATAGTACGTTCTGCAGAACTTCCCAAGTTATGAGAAAAAAAGCTGAGTCAAGGATGATTTCATCGATCTTTCCAGCTTGATCCCTCTAGAATCCCATTACAGAAATCGTTTGACCCCATGAGGATTCAGACCCACTGACTCCACCCTCTCCATGCCCACACTCTTCTCCCCCAGCGTATGCTCCACGGCCCACCTTTTGTCGTTCCCTTCTTTACACACAGTCGCCTCTGCTGGCCCCTCTCTCCTGCCATTTTCCTGGAGAAATCCCAACCCCAGTTTGATCCAACTCTCCCCCTGCTCTGCCTGAAAGTTTTACTAACTAAACAAGCCTAGAGAAAAACACCAGGTCATGTTAGCTAGTTTCACTATAAATCTTGAACCTCAAACCTGAACTGCTGCCTGTGGATCCTACTCTATTAACTCGTCAATTTACTCTTCTACTTTCCCAAATTAGTTTTGCACCTTCTTCCTTAGCCTTCAAACACCACTACTTTGCTTCCCTCTCAGATACTGTGTTAGATATTACACTGGGTGGGGGTGGGGGAACAATCAGAAGTCATTCTTTCACAACAAACCTATTAAACTGCTTGCATCTGTCTCAGTGTCTACTCACCTTTTCCTGCCACTGCAATGGGTGAACAATCCTCACTTATTTTCTGTCCCGTTGTATCTCAAGTGCCTAGACGAGGACCTAGCACATAGTAGGCCCTCAATATTTTTTCAGTGGAGTGATTAAGGCCAACCTCTCAACAACTTCATACCTACAATTTACCTCTCTGTCTCTTTTGCCCAATCAGTTTTCTGTCTTTGTTGTATCCTAACCATCATTATACAAACAGGCTGTATTTTCCCTCAGCTTGAAGAGACCCTCCTTTGACCTTTTATCCCCCCAAATTCTGCCACATTTTTCAATTCCTTTTTTTAATAGAACCTCTCCAAAGAACTCTCTAGACTTGCTGTCAACACTGCCTTTCCTCACAGTCTCCTCTGAACCCCCTTCAAACACACTTTAACACACTTTTATCCCCAGAGTGCTACTGAAACTACTCTTGTTAAGTTCACCCATCACCTCTACCTCGCCAAACCTAATAGTTAATTCTCAGGCCTCTTGTTACACTCCCTCTCAGCAGTGTTTGACATAGTTTATTATTCTTTTCTGCTTAAAATTCTTTCTTTACTTGGCTTTCATGAGACCACACACTTTGGGTTTCCCCCTTCTTCATTCCTCACTGGCCAGTAGTCATGTGCTTTTCTGTCATTTGCTGGTGGCTGTCCTTCCAAGTCTCAGACACCAGCGTAACATTGCGCCTCTGCTCCTCTAGAACAGACTCACTCCTTGCATGATTTCATTGAGTCTCATGGTTTTAAATTCCACATATTGAAGTTTCCTGAATTTCTGTCTCTGACCCAGACCCATGCACTTACCTGTTTGCTATCCATCTCTACTTAAATGTCTTAAAGGTATCTTAAAGTCGTTTAAACCAAAATACGTGGCATCCTTCTTCAAAAAATGGTATATATATCTGCTTCTTTATATTTTTCTCCACCTCAGTACACCACAACTTCATTCTACCAGATGCTTAAGTCAAAAACTTGGGTGCATTCTCGATCCCTTCCTTTTTATCAAACCTTCAGCAAATTCTGTAGGGTTACTCATGACTGAACCAATTCTAAAACCTCCATTCAGACATATAATGATTAAGGTCCCAGTAGGTCCCTGAGAGTGCGTGGTGGTGGCAGGCTGGAAGTGCGAGGGGGCGGAGCAGGTGCTGGATGGAACACCTCCGCGGCTGTTGAGTTCTCCGAGTGCGTTTAACAGCAGTCGAGGTGAAGGGTCGCCCCAGTAGGATCACAGTGGGTCTAAGGGAAGGAGTTAGCTTTTATTGCACAGCTAACTGGAAGTCACCAACACATTTTTTAAGTAGAGGATTTTATGATTAGGAATAAGTACTGAATATATTATCTTTTGTTAGATGAAGATACACAGATAATGTTAAAACTGATTTTCTAAATTGCATAACATGTCAAACTTGACTCTGGAACTTTTAGCAAGGGAATATTTTAACAGACTGTTAGAATTCTATTTAAGCAAATGGAGAAATCTTATCAAAAATTATACCAAATAGATTTTTTAAATGGTAACTATGTGAGGCGATGCATGTGTTAACTAACCTTATTGTGCTAATCATTTCACAGTGTTCACATGTATCAAATCATCACACTGTGCGCCTTAAACTTACACATGTATGTCAATTATATCTCAGTAAAGCTGGGGGGGGGAGTAGAACATTAAAAAATATACATTGAGCCAAATTGAAAAAAAATAGCAACCCCAGATGGTTTCGTAGAGAGAGGGGATTTTACTAAAGCTTTTAAAGAGTAGGTTGATCCAATGCCTAATTCCTGGAGCGGGGCAGGGGGGGGGGGAAGGAAAAGGTGTGATTTCTATTAAATTAGCTTAACGCTGATGCCAAAACTTGACAAGACTGCACAAAACAGATCAATCTCACTCATGAATATTGGCATTAGAAGTCATAAATGGAACATTAGGAAACATAGTCTAGCAGCTCATTCCACGATGAATACTCCACATCCACCTGGATTTATTCCA